CCCCAAAACCCCAAAACCCCAAAACCCCAAAACCCCATTTTCAATAAATAAATTGAAATAATATGAATATTTTAGACTATATCGAGAACTCGAGTCAGTCAGATGGTTTAGATGAGCCATCCCGCAACTCTTCAACCCAAACTGATGCAGAGATTGCTACAGTCAAAGATCTTGATAAGATATACGAGCAGATTCGCAAGATCAGAGTTGAGGATTTAAGTACGTTTATTTCTAAATTACAGGCTCTATTTCGGAAATGGTTAGTGTGAACACTTCAGGAATTCAAGAGCTTGCCCTTCAAATGGACAATACTGTCCATAGGAATAAATTCAAATTCTTAGAGCAGAAGATTTTGGAATTCGTTCCTTACGAAGAAATGAGAGAAATCCAGGATAGTCTTACTAAATTCGTTAAAAAGCCAGAATTTGAAACATTAAGCGCTGATGCTGAACAAATACAACAAAAAATAGAGACATTAGCTTCGAAATCATTTGTAACTGAAGGACTTGATCGTCTGAATCTCAAATGCAAGACCAGAGAGAAAGACTTTGTTAAATTTCATCTATTCTCTCAAAATATGAGTGAAATGGATTCCAAGCTAGAGAAGCAAGGACATGATGTCAAATTTAATAAGATAGAAATCTCAAAAATACATGACGAGCTTAAAGAGATTCATAAAAGCCTTAAGAAATAAGCTAGAGCAGCATAATCTTGCCTCAGAATCTACCAGGATCTGGAACAAGATCCGGACTCTCTGTGACCAAGATGATGTAGATGAGCTCAAATAAAAAAGTTATTCCGTTCCTATCACAGTTTAAAAAACAGATGGGCGCTTATGAAAAGCAGCAGACTCAGAATAAGGATATCATCATGAGATTTGATGAAGTTTTACTTGAAAAGGCACCAAAACATCGTATTGATGAGTTGGAAAATAAGTTACAAAAGTACTGTACTAAACTCGATCATTTTACCAACCACCAGGTTCTTAAGGAAGAGATAGAGAAGGTTAGCAAGCGGATAGACCAGCTCGAAGAGCAAGCTCTTAAGGATACAGAAGAAAGAACCAAGACTTTCACATCTATTTTGAATAAACTCCGGAAAGAAGTCACCGAATGCTATGGAGGGCAACCTATAGATGCTCGAGTCTTTGAATCACAGATGAAACTTAAAGCTAATGTTGAAGAAGTTTATGAAATCCGAGAGAAAATGGTTAATGATCAAGATTATCAAGTCTTTGTAGATCAACTAAAGCACTCATCAAGACAGTTGCATCAAACTCTATTTGTATTGATTGACTATTTAAAGAAAATGAGTGCAAATAAGGATGATGATCTAAAATAGCCAAAATTTATCCTCTCTGTACTCTAAACAACTTCAGAGCATCATAAACGTTGATTTAAAATCTGGTGTCCCGAAGAACAATATAAAGGGAAAGTTTAATAAGAAGAAACTTCTGAAGAGATTAAGTTCACATAGAAATTCCACTGCATACACAAGTCGTAGGATTGTATTCAACCCAAATAGGAGTTTGTTTACCAACCCTTCGAATCACAAGAACCAGTCTATCATGACTACATCTATTGAACGGATGCTGAATTCTGCCGAAAGGGTTGATATTGAGGTAAAGAATTTTGACTAGAATCCTAATCAGTAATTAAAAGGCCACAAAACTGCTTAATTTTACATATTTTTGTGGAAATATTTGTACCTCAGAGCTCACCATCTTGGTGAAATGTTAGACCTTCAATAGCTTGCTCCAATGTTGGGGTTTTGGGGTTTTGGGGTTTTGGGG